ATGTATAATACACTAGATTATGCACTATTTCTACACATTCATCTGTTATTACATTGTCTGATAGTTGACTATAGTCTATGTATAACTTTCTATTGTGTAAATATTATATTCTAGTCATAATTTGAAGCTTGTATGTATTACTGTTTTTTTTCACTGGTGTTGGAGGTTAGATTCAAGAATTATAGAAATTTTGGTCATGTTGGTGTCTAAAAAAACTTTACCGTTACTAGTAGCTAATGGAATAGTTACTAGTAACTAATAAATAAGTACTAGTAGATTTGAAATAGTGACGGAATAAATGTTAAAACGGTTTGCCATAAATACCGCCCCCTTGCTAAATCACAATCAGAAATACTTTATTGATCCCCAACGGGAAATTCTGTGTCACAGTTGCACACATTGCACATCAAGGCAAAAGGAATATAAATAAAAATAGAAACTTGGTATATAAAGAAGTATATAAATATCAGAGTAAAAATATAAATACAAGAAAATATAAAGGAGTGTGGATATGTACAGTATTTACATAATTAAAATAACTGTTATGGTAGAGAATATTGCACATTTAGTATTTAAACAGATATTATTGCACAAAACAGATAATAATGTCAAGTTTAATAACTAACTAAGTGTCCGTATGTCAGAAACTTTGAGGGAGGAGTTATAGAGCTTGATGGCCACAGGCAGGAAGGACTTCCTGTGGCGTGCTTTGGTGCATTTTGGGTTGAATAAGTCTAAATCTCCTGTGTTTGAGCAGCACATCATGGACTGGGTGCGAGACATTGTCCAAAATGTAGCTTGGACAGCATCCTCTTCTCTGACACCACTGACAGAGACTCAAGCTCCACCCCCACAACGTCACTGGCCTTGCGGATCAGTTTGTTGAGTCTGTTAGCGTCCGCTACCCTCAGCCTGCTGCCCCAGCATGCAACAGCAAACAGGATAGCACTGGCCACCACAGACTCATAAAACATCCTCAGCATCGTCTGGCAGATGTTGAAGGACCTCAGCCTCCTCAGAAAATACAGTCAGCTCTGGCCCTTCCTGTAGAGGGCTTGAGTGTTCTTGGCCCAGTCCAGTTTATTGTCCATGTGCTCTCCCAGGTACTTGTAGTCCTCTATAATGTCCACACTGACCCCCTGGATGGAAACGGGGGTCACTGGTACCTTTGCTCTCCTTAGATCCACAACCAGCTCCTTGTTGTTGAGCTGCAGATGGTTCTGCTCACACCATGTGACAAAGTCCCCCACCACAGCCCTGTACATCCAACCACAGCAGAGTCATCAGAAAACTTCTGAAGATGGCAGGACTCTTTGTGGTAGTTGAAGTCCATGGCGTAGATGGTAAAGAGGAAGGGAGAGAGGACCGTTCCCTGTGGGGCCCCAGTGTTATTGACCATGCTGTCTGACACACAGTGTTGCTGGCGCACATACTGTGATCTGCCAGTCAGATAGTCAACAATCCAGGACACGAGGCATCCACCTGCATCACTGTCAGCTTCTCACCCAGGTGGTGTTGAAAGCACTGGAGAAATGTTTTTTGTAATTATTATGTATGTATTATTTCTTATTATACCTTTATTTTACCAGGCAAGTTAATTAAAAACAGTTTCTTATTTACAATAACGGCCTGGCAGGAGACAAAGGCCTCCTGTGGGAAAGGGTACTGGGATTAAATAATGTCAAGTCAAAACGACCCTCACAGTGCTCGCTGGCTTGTCCAGGTGGTTGTAGGTGTGTAGTTCTTGGAGGCACTATGACGTGGTGTCTTTGGCACAGCAACCAGGCAAGCTGTCTTCCACAACACAGGGACCCTTTGGAAACTCATGTTGAAGACATGGTGAAGGACTCCACATGACTGGGGAGAACAAGCTTTGAGCACCCCGGGGGTGGGGGGACACCATGTATAGCCAGGACCAGTTTCCAAGATAATTTGGTCTAATTTTAGACCAGGATGTTTTCAGTAGATATCCTCAAGTGCATTTTTTTGTTTATGACTGAGCTTTTTTATGCAGGCCTACACTCTTAAAAACCTATTTTTATATGTGCGCTTTGACGGGATTTGTGGTCTGATTTAACTTTCATCTGCTAAGTCACTTCTTGAAACCTACAGAGGCATTCACTTAATTCTTATTTTATTGATTATAAATGATTTGAATTATTTTATATTGCTTTATTTGACCTATTATACTCTTTCTCATATGTAGTTCCTTTTGCTCAATGCTGTGAAACTGTTATAGGCCTACTGTTAACATTGTTTTATCATTTTCTACCATTTTTATTTTGGCTTGCACTTTGTAACTTACTTTAAAAAAAGTGCTATATAAATAAAGTTTGTTAATAGTGGGGGTTTTTTGTCACGTAGTCACAGGCTTGGGCTGCGGTCGAAAAGTCAAAAAAATCTCCTTTTCTAACCTCCTTTCCTTGACCTCGACGTCATGAGGTCAAGGAAAGATGCAAAGGAGAATCTATAAGGAAAAGAGGGCCGTGGGGTCAGAGAATCCGACTGCTCTTTTCTAAGCGACGTAATTATGCGACGGCGGATGTTACTGACGTGGCTTGCCGTGATAAAACTACAATACTCCGAAGATGGACTACAAAAAGCGCATCTTTGACACTGCGCCCCATGTTGTTGTAATGCAGGCCATCTACAGGTGGACAACACGGTGGAATATATTACTTAATAGCAGATAAGATAGCCTACCAGTCACTAAATAATGGACAGGGCTGTCACATTGAGAATGCTCACACTCACCCTCCTGCCCACACATAGGCCTATTTATCTACACGAATCCCAATTGTATGTAAATACAGTGTTTCCCACAGAATGACAGCGTAACTGTGCAGAGAGAGAGAGAGGGAGCGACAGCGCGAGAGGAGATGCTGAGCGGAGCTCATGAAATACGATTTTACCCATTTTAAATAGTACCTAAATCAATCGAAAATCAGCGTTGATAATGTGGCAGGCCGCCACAATTAAATCAGTGCGTGGGAAACGCCTACTGTAGAGGTCATCCAGCTTGATCTTTGCCTTTATTAAGGCCAGTGTCAGCATCTGTGACTGAAGCAAAATTAATTTGCTGAAGGCTGCAGAACATAACGTGAGCTGCAACATTATCCTCACTTTGCTCACGTTACAAGACCAGTTACAGCTCGCATGGGTCTCAGTTATTTTTGACAGTTTAAGATATATGCATATTAGCAAGTTATGGCATAAGAGAGAAAAGGCTTAATAGCCAGTGGTAACTTACATGGTGATCAACCTCCTTTATCCGTCATGGTTGGTGATTTATTTTAAATGTTGCCGCCGCAAGGAATTGTGGGACGGCATTCTGTCCTTTCTTTTCATAAAGGATGGTCCGGTGTACCCTATGCTAAAGGAGATATGAAAGGAAGCATAGAGGCACCTTTCCTTAGCTTTTAGAGAATTCGAACAGCTCTTATCATGGCTGCCACTGAAATAGGCCTACTGTTCACTTCACTCAGTTAGGAACCTTCCTAAACAAAAGACTTTTCGAACACAGCCTGGGTTTTTCTTTTCTTTTTCTTTTTTTTAACCATTCCGGAAACCTCCCACCTAACTGTCTCACTCAAGAAAGGAAATCACGTTAAGCCACTAGTTCAAGTAATAGGCTAGTTTTTTAAAACAATTTAATTGTGCCTAATTATACTTATTAGGTTAATTACTACTATTCTTAAGTTGAATGTCATGGTTTTGACAACACCTCGCATATTCACCAATACACGCAGGGCGGCGCTCGTGGACAGGTGTTGGCCTGGGTCTCACGCTCCTGTCAGCATCTGTGACTTTATTTTTTACAAATGAAGTCCTAAATTCCAGATCCTCAAATGTTAGTATCAGTATCACTAATGGTAGAAACCCCCTCTGACACTCAGGTGAGGTGGGGTGGTGTGTCCTGCTTGCTGTAGGTAGGCCTACAAAGCTTTTCCAGCGCTTTGCCTGGTGCGTTTTCTTCGATGAATCATGGCGACATAGCGCGCAGACTGAGTGGGACTAGAAAGTTCGTTTTTTCCCCTCATCTTTGAGTTAAAGTGAGTGAGGTTTATGATTTTGCACCGCCACGCTTGCATGCAGGTGTAGGCCTATCTTTATTAAACTGGGTTAGTGATAGACCTACTCAATCATACATCAATAATAGCCTATTTTTCATTTTATGCATGATCCATGATGATGAAGATACTGACAAATATAAATGCAATGCAAAAAAAGCATATTGTCAAATATTTTAGAGACCCCCAACATTATTAAGGTTATGAAGAGGAGCCAAGCTGCCCTTGCTTTCCTGTGTTCGCACCGTGAATATTAGGATATTAGGATTGTCTTTACTGTTTTGTTGTGCTCATTTGGGGCTTTCCTGTGTAAGGGAGCATTTCCGACACCAAGTGAAGGCAGCAGAAGGGCACAAAGATTTATGTTATTATCTCAAACTGTTGTCCAAATGTCAGGTTTACGTCAAGTGCAGTGAGTTACATTTGCCGTTATTTAGATGGATTTGCTTTTACCTTTTAGACGTTCATGTACTGATCAGGACTACGTGACAGCTCTTTACCCTACATGTCAATCTCTAGTTGATAGGCTACACACAATTAACGTCCATTTCCGTTATTCAAAATTCTCGTTGAGATGTGTTAATTTGTTTATCGATCCATTAGGCTACAAGATCATTACCAATTTTCTCTACACATCAGACTTGAGGACAATTTTTTACTGTCCGAGTGTCTTTCCAGAGCAAACAGCGTGTGGTTGTAGTGCTGCATTCATGGAACTTGCAGGAATCATAGCCTACCTACCCTTAAGTAAAACTAGTCGTTTCGCAGCTTAACTGTGAATAATTTAGCTAGGAAAGAACAACGCTTTGCTCATAAAACAGGAACAGCACTAGAATAATAGAGGCACGGAGTGAAGACGTTTCAAGTTTAGAAACACCTGCAGGCTGCTGTGACTCTGGAGCGCTCCGACACCTCAGACCCCGCCTCTTGTCGCTGTCCTCTTCGGAATAGGCTACTTAACTAGTTGCAGAGCCCTAACGGCTAAGTTGAACTCTGTCCTGGAGTAGCCCTGTCCTCCGAGGAGCTCTCTGCTCTCCTCCTTGTGTTTACTTTTCGGTTCAGGTGGACGCTCTGCTTGTGCGCTTTCAGGATGTCTCCGACCACGTCCCCGCGGTTCTTCACGGAGAGGGAGGTGGCCCGCAACTGCACCAAGGACTCCTGCTGGGTGCTGCTGGGGACCAGGGTGTACGATTTGACCGCGTTCTTGCGGATGCACCCGGGCGGGGAGGCGCTGATACTTTGCCGGTCAGGCAAGGACGTGAGCCGGGAGCTGGAAGGACCCCCGCACCGGCACTCGAAGAACGCGAGGCAGTGGTTGGAGCAGTACTACATCGGGGAGCTGGAAACAGACAGCGGCACCGTCAAGGCACAGGTAGAGACGGGAGAATCTGACACACACCTGCTGTTAACTAGAGGCCGACATCACTGACCTTTGGGCAGCAAGTTCAGAGAAAGTAACCTGAGAAGAAAAACCTGCTGCTAGGTCTCTACACACTGACTGCTGAGGGTTAGAAACTGTCTTACTTTTTAAACAAATGGCCTCCAAGCAAGGCTGTGGTCCCTTTGGGAAAACAGTGTTTACTAACGTCTCTTAGAAAGAGCCCGACCAAAGCAAATATTTCCCCCTCTGAGCTGTAGGCCTACACGGGGAGCTAAATAACAATCATGACATGTGTTGGTCTCCAGGCAGGTTTGAAAGTCTTTATTTGCTGCATATGATATCAGACACAATGACTTTGCCAAAACACTTAACGGGTTTGAGAATTTGGAAAGCTGGAAAAGGCGTGTTGGATCAGTGAGTAACAGGTGTATAAATGTCTCTCACTTAACTTAACTGGGTGTTTCTGTGAGGCAGAGAGAGAGAGCTCTCCTCTCCCTCTCCCCTGGGCAGTATTGATTGTAGAGGAGGGAATAAGGAGTGGCAGAAGACAGGGTGGGGTGCAGGTGATTATGGTAGACCGGTATTGGGGACAGTGTGTGTGTGTGTGGGGGGGGGGGTGCAATGGCAATGTGAATGTCTGTTCCCATGCCAATAAAGCACCTTTTGAACTGAACACAATTTGAAATAAGAGAAAGAAACTGGTTTGTCTTGTCCCAGTATGACTGCAGGGACCACAAACAGGGAAGATTTGAGGGAAACCGGAAACTCCCAATCACACATTAGATGAATCCACACCCAATTTTGCTCTTTATCCCAGTGAGAACAGAGAAACTGAGAGAGTTTGCATAAATCTCATGCTGACAGGTTTCACATTTACATGGCTTGCCCACTCTCCTGTGTGTGTGTGTGTGTGTGTTCTTGCCTGTCGGTTACTGCAAGGTTTACACAATTTCAGTAACAAAAGCCATTTTTCTTCTCTTCTTTATCCTCCCTTGATCTTTATGCTTTTCAGTCACTGATAAAGCATATCTATAAAAAATTCACTTTTGGACTTTTTCGTTTTGTCGTTCAGCAGTTTGAAAATGGCGTGCAGCACAGTGTGGGTTGAATGGGGGATGCATGTGGCTGTTAATGTTGAACATCAGCAGTTTGACAATGCATTCATACTTGACAGCCTTCACACATTCTCCCACAGGCTGTTTTACAGTTTGAGATGTTTGTGGGTTTTTTTTTCTTAGCAGCTATTATCACACCATACCCCACCCTCCCAAAAAGCAAAGGTTAATCACAATTTTTTTTTATTTCAACTGCAACTTGGTTGGACATGTTTCAGCACTGAGGTGTCTTGCAGCAAGTCCAACACAGGGTGTATGGAGATTGAGAAGGCCTAAGGGGTAAAATAGTATGTTGAAAAATGTATTTGTCATTAATGTTCTAATTACACTATTTGATTTGGCTGAAAGAAGATAAATGGTTGTGTTGATTTATATCCCAGCCTCACTGAGGCCCAGCTGCTGGGTGTGAAACTAATGGTCAAATGTGACAGTGGAGGTCATGAGACTGAGTCACCAGGACATTCCACCTGTTAATGAAAATCGCCCCTATATAATTTGTCCTCCAGGTATGGCTGAAGAACAAATAATTCTTTCCGTCTTCTACTCTTCCTTCAGTCACAGGCACCTTGGTCTAACTGCAAATGCTAAACCTACCCCACATTATGCTCTTTAATGATTGCCCTGATGGCTTTAAATGGCATTTTCACCTAGCAGCTAAATACCAGTGCAGAAACAGGATGTATCAACTTTTGGTCACACAGTGTTACTTTAACGCGGTTATAACTGGTAAATAATCTTGTGGTGTTATATTATGTGTTACCATGAGCTATTATGTGCAAAAACAAATAAGTAAAACTGCCAAATCTTACTTTTTGCTGCTTCAAATGTAACTTTATCAGTCCCTATCTTTGCATAAGTAAGAAAAGTCTGATGTGGTTTTCTGGAGGCAGCAGGTGCTGTTGTATTCTATGACAATGAAGCTCCATAGTCTAATTCATTAACGGAAGACCTGTCCCTCAAAGGGTTAAACATTGGTAAGCAGAAGGAGACACAATCTGCAGTTTTCTGTGTCTCAGATGAAACTGCTCTGCCGCAGAATGTAAGGAAATTGTATCTAGAAACATTCTGTTTGAGGTTCCTCATAGCACAAACAGAAGGAGATTAAAGGGGAGAAGAGATGGTATCCTTCTTGTTTGCATAAGTAGTCAGCATACATAAAAAGCACTAGTGCACCACTGCAGGGCGTCTGGTAAGAACTTAACAAGAGATGTCAGGAATGTTTAATGATTATTTCATACAAAGTTGTATTTGTGTAACATGTATGTTCTGAAATATAAGCAAATAATAAAAATGTACTAGGTGTCAGTATAGTTACACATTTACACAGATCATAGTGTACACATTATTTCCAGAAACCGTATGTTGTAGCCACCAACATAGGAACAATATAAAAAAGAGTTACATTAATACCAAGAATCAGCTATATTAATTACAACTCAGTGATCTGCACCTTGGCTCCATGTTGCCACTGGTGCCTGTCTATCTCTACAACACTAATGCAGTGTTGCTAGAAATTATGAATATAACACAACCCAAATGTGAACATATGGCTTCAGCAATGGACTAAAACATAGCAATAGCAATTTTACCAAAGTGATAGATAACTGTTACACTGTTATATAGTCCAGAACTTTCCTCACGCAGTGGCATACTACTCACAAAGACCAATAGACTTGGAGTTTATTTATATCACATAATGTCCATAAACTCCCATTCAAATGCTGCAGCTACATTGAAAGTCAGCTCAAAGTTGAACTTTTAGTATTTTGTTCAGATTGGGGATGAAGAGAAGCTCCCCCAATCGTATCCCACCCACTGCTGCCAAAACTGATACAACTTATATAAAACCCTACAGAAATCATTAAAGCCAGGATTGGCTCTCCCAAGGCCACAGAGGACATTTTACAACTGTTTTCATAGGCTGAGCAGTACTCCCGCTAACTAGTAAGTTGATTTTCATGTGTAAAATTGTTGCTGTTCCCTTTTTATTGAGCACACAATCAGTAAATTATTCAGATTAGGACTGGAGACAAAAAAACGTGATCAGATGTCGCTACACATGATCTCTGAGAAGTGCTGTGGTGCTTTTACTTGGAATGTAAAAGCACCACAGCAATTAATCCAATCGCCAGTGTAGTGGCCATATACCCTTAATCAGTCTTTCAATCACAGGTGCAGCTTGTTTACTCTTTCCTCCTGTCCCATTGTCTTGAAGGACTAGAGCCAAAACAGCCTTTCACCTGGAGAGGATGTGCTTAACAATCCTTTTACATTTTTTCTTCACCCGGTCTGCTGATATCACAGTCTCTTTGTGTACATGGAGACTTGTAAGTAAATTCAACGGGGCTAAGAGTGGAGGCAGCTGTGTTTAGGGCTAATACATTAATGTACCGGAGAATATAGCTGTATAGCCATGAACTTGGGAGGATAGTGCACATATTGTTTAAATGAGTGGAATCACAAAGGAGTGTGTGTGAATGAATGTATGAACACCGGAGATACTATGGAAGAGCTGCAGAGAATGAGACTGGAAGTGAGTTGAAAGTTCTTATAGTATTGAGAGTGAATCGCAGCACAGATCCATAGAGAACAACAGAGTGTAATTTGGTAGAAAGTGGTAAGTTCGAGTATTGGGGTCATGTTGGTGGGTGTTGATAAGTTTTGTGGATGGAATGCGGGAGAGCACCGGGTCAGGTGGAGCGCTGGAATGCAGACTTCCATCTGCATGGATCTTTTTTCTGCTCAATGATGTGATTGTCTTTCATTAGAGGGCAAGCGGAGGAAAAGGGGGAGAGATTGATGGGGTTGTGGAGGGACTTGTACAATGTTGACCTTAAGTTCAATATTAACACCTCCAACAATTTATGTTTGGCAGCACGCGCGAGAAATAAATTGTGGTTATTTATTAAAGGCTTTGGCCCTGTAGGCCATTGTAGACTTTGATTAAATATAAGCCAATCACAACAAAGCAAAGCTATAGTGCAGTATTTACTAGGATCCAGTTATATTCAGCTCTGCACTTTACCAGCGCCCATGTCATCAGGTCTCTCTCTGACAGGCTGTTGAGGGGAATTCTCTCTTTTCTAACTCTGTAGAGCTGCTCTGAGTTTATCTCCGCGGTGATCCATTACCCGGCACATTGTTTACCTTTGCTACCATAGAGACTGCCAACACAGCAATTAGCGCTCAGGTGCAGGCCTCAGGTGGCTCCCCTCGTCGCCACGGTAACACCTGGAAAAGAGAGAGGACGAGGTGCAGGGAAGCTGGATGGACAGTCAGAGGGGATGGAGATAGATAGATAGAACATATGCTTGAAAGGTGCAATTGATTTGGGCAATGGTCTCACAGGACTGATACTTCCCCTCCTAGTTTTTACTGAGCCTACTCCTGAAGTTGTAACTTTTAACTCTTTCCCATAAATAATTTCCCGATGGTATTGTTCCTTCTCATTGGTCTGTTGTCATCCCATGGGGGGATCTGATTGGCTGGTGAGGTATGAGGCCAGTGGTCAGAAAGATTGATTTCTGCTGAACTCATGATCTGTTTTGTATATCCTGCATTACAAAACAAAAATCTGAGAAGTAAACTGATTTATAGTGTTTATTTTCCTGCTCTTCGCTTTAACCATTACTGTTTGCTTTTATACCCTCTTTATTTTAAATGCTCTTTTACCAAAGAATTAGAATGAAGCATTTGTTCTTTACGATATGAAAACTAAAATGAAGAGGGGAAAAAATGTTTTGTTTAATTCTAGAGGTTAATAGGCTGCAGATGTTGTTGCAAGAAAACAAACATTTGGAAGGTGCTGAAGAAACGGACAAGAGGAGGGACGAGGAGATGGAGAGAGGTAACCTGAAGGACTCAGCGTACGGTAGT